TGTTACTTGGTACCATTATTTCTATTTTTCTATCTTTATCTTCTTTGTAACCGTTTTTAAGATCTATATTTTGCTAGTAGTTAAGAAATAGAACAATAGCCATTGCAACCATATGATTTATAAGCTTCCTCAATAAACCTGTAACTGTTTAAGCTTTAACCTGACTCCTTCAGTTGCTGTAACAGAACCAGGCACAATTTAAAAGAACTTCAGCCGGTCTTAAGGGACAGATATAGGGAGAGCTTGGGCATTTGGATTTGTGTCACTCCCAGGTAGCAGATCCGTTGGGGCACTTCTCAGCCTCCCCCAGGCTGCCCGCTACGAAGGAATCACAGATTCTAGCAGCTACAATCTGAAGTGTAATAAGCTCTCCCTGCAAACTTATTGGGGCGCTCGTCAACCTCCTCCAGGTTGCCCGCTGCAAGGGACCCCGGTCTCAGCAGTTGAAGTCTCGGGTGTATAGCACACACACACACCACTCACTGCCCTGACCGTCGGCTGACACGTAGTGCAAACTGCCTGGCTGGTAGACACACTCACGCAGCCTGAGCACATCTACCAGCCAGGCAGTTCGCAACTACAAATTGATACACCTAATAATAATAAAACTTACCTAATGAGAAAATACCAGACATTTTATATGTCCGGTATTTTCTCAATTTGTTTCCCGGATAGAAGCCTCAAATACCGGATTGTCTAGTACAAAACTGGACACCTGGCAACCCTACCCCACCTTGCACCCTCCCTCCTAGCCAGATATTCTAGCCCCAGTTTGCTCCTGCTCCCACCTCCCAGAGTGCCTGTGCGGCGCCGGGTCCCCCAAGCCCTAGCCCGGGCTGGGTGGCGGATGCAGCCGGATGAAACAGTGAACATTTATTCATTTTTCATTCTTTTTTTAATATGCGTTTATATTTTTGGGCTGCAAAAAACAGTACTGAAAAAAAAAAAACAAGTTCCAACTAAAGTAAAAAGTTTGGGAAACCCTGGTCTAACCAGCTTTCTGTCTATCTTACAGGCCATTTATCCAATCCATATTCCTTAACTTGCTGGCAAGAATATTGTGGGAGACCATATCAAAAGCTTTACTAAAGCTGGCATTGGGGGCTTTGGGAGGCCCAGAAACAACTTATTTGAATATTCATCATTTGCTTAATGAATATACAAATGAATGTTTTGTCCTCCAAAAGCTCATGAATGGATTTACTGGTCCCCGTGTCAAAAAGTTTGGGAACCCCTGCTATCGACTACACGCATTTCCCCCACCCTTTGCCAGTAAACTTTTTAGCAGGCTGGCCGGTAGCCCAGCTCAGTCCCAGCTTGCACTGGGTCCTGGATCTACCCCCATTGCAACTCTGCATTTAAAGTGTATTAGGAGCCAGGTGGGCAGGCAGCCCGGCTCAGTTCCGGCTCATGCCCAGTATGGGAGCTCAGACCTCTCCCCACCCCAACAGTGGCTGCCTGGGGACTATAGATCTGTCGACCAACCGATAAGAATTCATGAGGTTAATCAACTATTTAATTAACCAATATTTAACATCCCTAGTGTTCCTTGCTGTTATTTAGCTCTTATTTAATCCTAACCATCTTCTAAGAACCCAGTGCACACTGGAAGTGTTGGTAGTGCTGCTAGACAATATTGATCTCCCATGGTTCAGAAAATTCTCTGGTTTTAAACTGGTCAGGTCCCAATGGTGCCAGACTAAAGAGGTTCAACTTGTACTGGGAAAATTAGGACTTCTATGTCCTAATCCTGACTGATAATTGTTGTCTGTGTGACCATAGGTGGGAGTTGCTCGGGCCTGGCCAGGCCAGGCCTGGCCTGCTGCCAGTTAACTGCTTACCCAGTAAGGGTGATGCTTACCAGGTAACCAGTTAACCCTTTACGTCCCTAATGTAAATCCCTACCAGTCTCAGTTTCAACCCCATAAAACACTAGTCATGGGGGCAAGGCTGAATTTGATATTTATTGGCTTAGCTGAGCTGATTGATATTTATTTATGACTGTATTCTATTTTAAGGTGTTTTATATTTCAGCTTTAAGAAAGTCAAACATGTAAAAAAAAAAGAGTTTATGGAGGGAAATATGTTTTATAAGGGGAATATCCTTGACTAGTCCCCAGTACTTACTGTGATCATGTAACCATTATAGATGAAATATAATGGACTATTTGAACAGCAAATATTTTTGCCACAAATATAAATGTTAAAAGTACAAAAAGTAAATTTTAAAATATCTATACACAGTATTAAAGGTAAATGTTGATAAAACTCTGCAGTCTATCTACAATGGTAATAGAAAATTTACTAATTATTATTTTTTCCTCTGACTCTAAAAAGTGAATACAGTAGACACATTAATATAAAAGGTCCTTTTGGAATAAGAATATCTTACGGGGCAGCTTACTGCATACATTAGTAAGTACTACTGTGTGCACAATGCATTCCGATTTATCGTAAAGCAAATATCAAATTCTGGGATTTATAAAGACAGGTAGGCACAGCTGTATCAAAAAAATGGGTTCATGGCAAACTTATCATAAATGCATTACCTCAGAGGAAAACAGTCCTTTTCCATTTCAGTCAGGATCTTTTGAAAATAAATGGTAATTCTGTTTTAACCAATAGCTGTATTCTGGCTCACAATACGATGAGTGGACCAAACAGCCCATATGAAGAAAGTTTATAGAAAGAGAGTAAAGGTAGACCATCCATGATACTATTTTGCAAATAAATGTAATTATTTTATGGAGGTGTAGTGTTTTATACAATATGTCAGTTTTTTCACATCATGTTAAACAGCCTGGATGTCAATATGATACCAGCTTTTTGTGATCAATCTGTAACCATGCATCTTATACTATATAATCACCCTCTTGCTAGCAAATGTCAAACAGAGAACTTCAGTAAGTTTAAAGTACCACGTTGGGGTACAGAAAACTGTAGATGTTCAATTATTTTCAATGGTCACAGAGCAGCACAAGTCTACCACATGAACATGACAGTGAGAATCAACTGACTTTTGCAAGTCATCCCAGATCATTGCCAAAAACATTTTATTCTACCATCTCATCATGCAGTCTATTTTATAGTTAAAGGAATGTTTTAGAGGATTTTAATAATTTTGTGTAGAATATATTTATACTCTTTCACCTATAAAGACATGCTGCCTTATTATTAAAGGTCCAACTGGGCAGAACTAAGAGAGAGAAGAGAAAATATAAAAATACATTTAATAGCATTGGTTTTACGTTTAATCAAAATCAGGGCCTATTTGTATATACTAGACACTGTACAAACATATAAGAAGAGTCCCTGCACCAATGAACTTGGAAGCTTAATTAACAAGAAAAGCAAAGGATAGAAAGAAAGGAATATTATCTTAACTTTACAGATGAGGACCTGAGGCACAGAAAGAGTAAGAGATCTGCCAAAACCAAGGTCACACAGGAGGTCTGTAGTCAAGCCAGGAATTAAACCCCATCTTCTGAATCCCAACCCACTGACTTTAACACAAGAATATTTATCCCCTCCAGATATGTTCTTTGTGTCTTACATGAACTAATTAACTGCCTCAATGCATAATGTAGTTATTAAAATAGCTTCTAATTATTTTTGCCAGAAGGGTTTTTATTTAAGAAAAATTGGTATTAATACCTTTTACAATATTTTAATACTCATATATAGCTGGATATAAACTAGCATATACATTTGTTTTCTTTAATAGTTTGACAGCTTGCTGATCAAGTCAAATAAAATACACATAGTTAAAGTAAAGCAATTTTAGACAGAGAGTCTCATCTAATCAGAAACTGCTTTAAAAGCTTTGGAGTGAGCCTTTCCCAAACAGTGTATCAATATGTAATGTTAGATCCCCTTGATATATTAGACTACCAAAAAGACCATTAACTGAAGGACAGAACCTATAAACACTCTACAGCTTCCCTCTGACTCAGCCCTAGAAAAAGACATAGCTATTGTCTTATCAGACTTGGGCAAAGGTGTAGCTAGTCCTATATCTAACCTTCCACCAATCTACAACTTGGGCAAAGGTGTAGCTAGTCCTATATCTAACCTTCCACCAATCTATGCTGCCGAGGGTTGTAAAAAGGCACAACACACCAGTGCTACAGTACAATGACATTCTATATTATCTTTTAGTGTGACTGACCCGTAGGGCCTGATCCTGAGCAGTAAGCACCTGCAGTTTAAGTTATTTCAACCGGAGTGACAAATGTTCAACACCTCTCAGCACCAATAACTTTAAAGGTTAGTGAACTTCAATTAATAAGAAGGCATAATTAATAAATGCCATACTACTTTCTTACCCCAAGAGGGTGAATTACCTACAAACTAGGATTTTGACATCAAAATAAGCAGGATTATGGTCTCATTTTTTAAGACAGTTATAAATTCAGACAAAAATGCTAGCTTTAGAAAAAATATGTACCAGTATTCACTTTTGAAGTTATGTGTGTTACGTCAATTTTCTTGGACTTGACCAAAGTAGAAGATCGTGTGGAAGGACTTCTGACAAAATTCTTCTTGTGATCTGAAGCCTTACTTATTTTAGAAAGAGGTGCAAAGATACCTGGAAAACAAAACAAAACAAAAAAAAAGAGTAAATCCCTTTAACATGCATTGAGCCTTAACCAAGGGGCAGGGCCACTCAGGAACCAGGAATGGGATGTTAAGCAGCTGCAGACAATGCTGGCTCCACTCTCTAAGCAGTGGTGGGCAGCGCAAGCACAGGCCATAGGACTCAGGAGGCACAGAAGGGCAGCCACACAGCTGGAGGCTGGAGAGGCTGGTGGTTTCCCCTTCAAAGGCCAGCCACACTCAGCTCCTCCGGCCCACACACATGCCACCCCTGCCTCCCACCTGATGCCCCGAGGCATCCCTCACTCCCCTGCTCCAGCTCTCTCAGACCGTTGCGGCAAATGACATATGTTCCGGGAAAATTGGAAAATCTCTTCCTCAAACAGCTTCTGCCCCCACATCCCTACTCCTCCCACAGGCCGGGGCGTTTGCTGGTGCGGGGCTGCATAGGGCACCAGAACTGGTAGGGACAGTCCTGAATACTATTCCTATTTTCAGGGATGGGCAAGTCACTTACTCTATCCTGTGCCTCAGTGCTCTGCCTGACCCCACAAAGGATGCTAGTGGCTGAGCTGGAAACTGAGGCAGGCGTTCCCCTCAGGACAAGCTCCTGCTATCATCTCACAGGTGGAAATGAAATGTCAAGCAAATTTGCAATACAGACACCTCAATTTGACAAAGAAAAGAGACTGTATCACATTCCCTTGAAGGTTATGCTAGAGAGGAATTTTAAGAAGGACGTATCTGTATGAATGCTCACATGAATCTCTTTTAAAGAGGAATACGAAGCAAATTGCGACAGAAAATGTCAAATAGAAGAGAAACAATTACAATGTGATTGTGAGAGGGGCAAATAACTAACAAAGATGGTTATTCCAAAAACTGGAAAGATACTACATTACAGTTTCAAGGAAGTAATCAAAAATGGCTGCTTCTGCAACATGTAAGAACTGACAAAGTTAGGAGCACTTAAAGGAATTTACAAAATAGAAAAATCTGGACCAATTAATTCGTATTTATCCACCCAAAGACGTCTTATCTAATCAAACCAATATTTTATTTTTCAAATGAAGGTTTCAAAGTATCTGTAAAACATCTGGAAAATAAAGCTATACCACATTTTGGTGCACACTTGAAGTACTGGACATTTCCAACACTTCCGTCATTCTTTCCTTCTGGATCATCCAGCTCTACACCAGCCCACTGCCCGCTGGCAAATTCTGTTGTGCCACAAAATCTTAATGTACCAACCTAAAAGAGAAGAAAGAACACATAATAAATAAATATTATGTCCTTTAGATGCTATGTAAGGTAAGTTGTCTCCAAATTCTTGATCTCGACTCAGATAGCCACTTTCACATTCTTCTGCTTTCCTGGAGGGCAGAGAGCCTTTTCTTTCAAAAATAACAGCCAGTCAGTGTTCTAAGATGTAAGAGACAGGACTAATTCCCTGAGATTGAACAACAGTACTATTTATTGGCAGTTTTTACAATAAAAAGGAGTCACAAATAACATATACCATTAGTCAATGACACCACTTCAGTAAAGTACTTCTAACTAAGTGGGGTTTATTCACTGAGGGCACATCTACACTTCAGCATTATTTCAAAATAATTAACATTATTTGGAAATAACAAGGTGAGCATCTACACAGCAAACCCATTACTTCGAAATGATTTCGAAATAACAGGCTTCTTATTCCGGAATAATAAATCCTCATTTCCCAAGGAATAACGTCTATTTCAAAATAGTGTGGAGATTCTGGATCTCACTGAGGTCTGGGGAGAGGAGACCAACATCCAGGATCTGCGTACCAAGAAGCACAATGCCAATGTCTATGGCCAGACGGCCGCCAGCTTAGCAGGTCTTCTCGGGTTTTGCCCATGGACTTCCTCTGGTCTCAGCAAATGTGTAATACAAGCGTATATACCTTAATTTAACCATTTAACAAAGATGTCTTTTCTCCCGACAGTTTTAGATGGTGGATTTCAAACCATTTTTAAAATACTGGTTCTTCTAATTAGTCTCACTAAAAATAAAAAAATCTTCCTCTTTCAATTACTCAGCTTCCAGTCTTTTGTGTTGCCAGTTTATCATTATAATTTCAATGAAAGATAAGGCGCTGGTGCCTTGGAAGAGAGAGTTAACATTAAAAATTCAGCGAACCGAAGTCCCCCACCTCCTTCTTTAAATGTATTTAACACAACTGTTCATCAGACCAGCCTTCTTTATAAATCAGAAAGCAGTGAAAAAAGAGAACCTCCTTCCTCCCCACCAATTTTACCTGTTCCCTTTAAATCTGACTATTACAGGATTGCTTAATTGAGAGGCCCCCAAACTGTGGGACATGACCCTATAGAGAGACATGGAGAAACACTGGAGCGGGGGGGTATAACTAAGGCCTACATCAGTTCTCAAGGGGCAGCGATGAGGGAGTGCCACTCAACAACTACCATCCCCACAAGGCCCCAGCTGCTGCCAGCCCCTCCCCTATCTCCAACTCCCTTATTCTTGTCTGTGGCCCTCTCTCCTGGCCCCAGGCCTCACACGAGCAAAGGGGCAGGATTAAATAAAAAGTTTGGGGACCACTGACAATCTATAGCCAAAAAAATCTGGCCTCTGACTGCCTCATTGCAGGTGCAGCACTTTAATAAGCATCTTTTCAGATTAAAAGGCTCCAAGTCTAGACAACTTCATCCATATGCAGTGAAAGTGTTACAGTTTCAGATGTTCAGTGCTGTAGTGCAATGGCAAAATAAAAACTAGCATTCTTTGTAACTGAAATATGTACAAAATTCTTCTATAGTAACTTGCTACTAAAGTATTTTTGATAGCTGTTATTTTCTTCGCTTTCATCGAGTAATCATTTCTGGTGAAAAAACTTTCATATGTTAATTATCTTGTCAGAACAAGCAGTTTCTTGTACATTCTTCAGTTAACATGCCTTTTGTATAACTAATGATTGAGTCACCTTTCCTGACCCAACATCAACATCTTAAATGAAAATTCAAAATGGAAGCTGCTTCCCACTCTGCAAGAAAAAGTTTTTGAATCAAAAAGGACAAATTATAAATCTAAATATCGTAACAATTAGAAAAATCAAATATGCAAGTACTGTTGTCACAGGTGCCTGAATACCTAAATGCGGAATTCTGCTTTTATACATAGGTGTTTCTGCAAAGTTTGCACATATCCCTATAAAAAAAATCCTATAGCTTTTTAAATAATTTCTAAATCCTTGCTACTTACCGAAAAAAATGAATATATATATACACACACATACACAACCCCCCTCCCCCTAACAGAATGGTTTTCCAAACAGTCTTCTAGTTAAGTGTGGCATGATAGCTTCCAAAGTAAATAAAATTTTAACAGCGGTTATTTAACTAATGTACTCATTGTTCCTTAGTGTTTCATCAAAGAAGATGTTAGGTGCATCACACCGAAGAAATTAAGTAACTAAAGGATTAGCAGAATTAAAAGTACCTTTTACCAGTTTCTGGAAATTCAAACTAGATAAATCTACAGAATATATATTTCTGTCACAAGATCCTGCAAATGGTATTTGTGAGCACTGGCAGCATTTTAGATTCATATTAATATACCCAATAAAGACAATAAGGAGTCCTGTGGCACCTTAAAGACATGCATCTGATGAAGTGTTTTTTACCCACAAAAGCTTATGCCCAAATAAATCTGTAAGTCTTTAAGGTGCCACAGGACTCCTCGTTGTTTTTACAGATACAGACAAACACAGCTCCCCCTCTGAAACCTAAAAGACTAGGACTCATTTATTACGGTGTATTAAGAAAGCATTTGCAGGTACAAAATACAGATTTTGCCTGACAAAAACCTACTCTTCACAACAGTGAAAAAATTTCCCTAATACCCAAGCTTTCAGCTTCTCATGAGGGGATTTTCCTTTCCACTTCTTTTCTAGCAACGGAAATAACTTCACATCTCTACTGCCATCCATATTTCATACCTTCCAGAAGTTATTTTACACTTACAGATAAGAACTATGTTTCAAATGAAATACAAATGCCCCGTTCATAGATAAAACTTGTGTGCTTTCAAATTTGCTCACTTACTTTTTGTCCTGCAATAACAACACGATCTCCTAATTTCAAGCCAAGAGACATAAGCATGGCCTTGCCAGTGACGTGATCATAGCTGGGAAGCATTGCCTTTGAGATGTCACATGACAGAGGCACTGCATCCAACAGCATCTGCTTGATTTCTTTTGCACTTGCTGCAGCATCTGCCATTTCCAATGGCATATCTACTGGGTCAGGAACCACATCTGCTGGAATCTGTCCTTTGTCATTCTGCATAAACAAGGTAGGAGAATGAAGGGGCAGAGTTAATGAAAAGACTTAAAATCCTATTTGTACAATTTTTTTAGTGACACGCAGCCAAAATTTTCAAACATGGTTGCCCAAAATTAGGCATCTAAACTCCTAATAAGCAGGGACCTAACAAAATCCCGGTCTATTTTGATCAATTTCATGACCAAGAATCATGAACTTCATCATTTTAACAATTTAAATCTGAAATTTCAGTGTTGGAATTGCAGTGATCGTGACCTGAAAAGGAGTTGTAGTAGGGTTGCAAGGTTATTATAAGGGAGGATGCAGTTGTGCTATGCTTACTTCTGCTGCAGCAGTGCTGCATTCAGAGCTGGGTAGCTGGAGAGCAGTGGCTGCTGGCAAGGAGTTTGCTCTGAAGGCAGAGCTACCACCAGCACCAGTGCAGACATAAAGATGGCGTGGTATGACAATGCCACCCTTATGTGCTGCTGCCTGCAGAGTGGGGCCTTCTGTTAGCAGCTGCCATTCTCCGGCCGCCCAGCTCTGAAAGCAGAAACGGAGACTAAAGAGTAGCATGATATGGTATTGTCGCCCTTACTTTTGCGCTGCTACTAGTGGAGTGCTGCCTTCAGAGCTGAGTGCCCAGCCAACAGCCACCATCCTCCTGCCCTGAAGACAGCACAGAAGTAAAGGTGGCAATACGGTAACCTCCCTAAAATAACCTGGTGACTCTCCTGAAATTCCCTTTAGGGTAGGGACCTAATTTGAGAAACACTAGTCTCCCCCATGGAATCTGGATAGTACAGGATAAAAGCACACAAAAGACCAGATTTCATGAGGAAGAGACCAGATTTAATTTTTCATGGACATGAATTTGGTAGGTTACTAATTATAAGGGAACTTTATTGTCAAAGGTGATGAGTCCCTACAGTTTCTATTGACTTTAAAAGCACTTGTAGATGCTGAATGTTTCCGAAAAAGCATATGTATCGAAACAGAGATTTAAAAGTATAAGTCTAGGCACCAGGTCTGAGAATTCTGGACAGTAATACCAACATAAAATTAGTTTTAAAGTGTCCGAGGGAATAAATCTTTCCTCAGAGTAAGATCTGCTTTTTCAACTGCTTCATTTTCCTTGCAAAGTATTTGAAAAAAATTATAAAAAAGAATTCCTCAAGATTTATTCAGAGAAAAAACTTCACTTATAATTAATTCCTTGTGGAGCCCCTACAAGGCCTCCTAGTATCAGACCTAAAAAATTATAATCCTGTTTCAATACCTTAAATCCAGCAGCACAATCCAGGCAAGCACAGACTGCTCACATGGAGCCTTGCTGAAGTCATAGGACTTTCCACAAGTCTTTCACTGCAGGAACAGCATTAGAACATCTACTACAAAGCTCCAAATCAGAGCCACAAATAAAATCCCAGCCCCATTCAAGTCAATGGGAGTTTTGTAACAGAGTTCAACATGGCTAGGATTTCATCCCTAAGCCTCTCAAAAGTACAAAATAGTGTACATGTCCCACTGAGAGATCCGATGGAGTTACCTGAATTCTTAATATCTAGCATGTCAAAAATCTCTGCTCGGTGTCATGCTTTTATTGTGGGTTGTTATTTTTCTTTGTATTTGTATTGTTTTTCTTCCATTGTATTACCAAGTCATTTATATATCTGATTTCAGCACTGGCCTTTCTAAAGAGTGTATTTTTTAATTTTCCTTTTTTTATTCTCTCCCTTCCTTTCCATCTCATTCAGTCCCTTTTGGGGAACATGCACCACTTCAGGAAGACATGGAAGGTAAATTATAAGCAATCTTTTAAAATATAAAAAACAAAACCAAGCCTATTTGTTCTTAAGACTGTTACCGCAGTTCCAAATGCATTATTATAGACCAAGTTTCAGCAACATTTCAATTTCAGAATATTTGAAATGTGAAAGCCTATTCATACTGAAAGTTCTTAATCTTGGAAGTTGGTTTTAACAATAAAAATTAACTTCGGGAAAACAAATCCATGGGGCCAGCATTTTAGTAAAAAGGAAAAGTTAACTACTTTCTGCACTTTCCCTCCTCCTAAACCTTAACAGCATCTTAGCTTTTGTATTATTATTTTTAAAAGACATATTGCACCCTGGCAGTGTATTATACATCCTCTAAAGACAAGCAGTAACATTACATATAGATGTATAAATAATAAAATAGGCATCTGACTGAGAAAAAATATAGCAATTTAGAATGCATATTATGAAGAACTGAGAAAACAGACTAAAGGATTTCTGAAAGTTTCTATATCATTGACACACAAACTAAGCAGCTAACAATGCTTCATTCTCAATGGCCTAAGATGCCACATAGTTGTAGCCCAGTTTAGGGATGTAAGTGACTAGTCGAGTAGTTGACTACACGATAAGCCTAGGCTATCAGGTAAACAAATCACTACACAACTACTTGCTTCCCAACCCCTTGTTGCGTCTGTATAAGAGGAAGCAAAGGGGAGGGAGCAGAAGCTAGTGCTGGGGGGAACTGGCTGAAAAGTGACTTAAAAGTCGAGTGACTACTCGACTAGTCACTTACATCCGTAACCTGAGCTACAAGTATGTGGCAACTTAGGCCACTGAGAATGAAGCATTGTTAGCTGTGCTAGTTATAGCCATTCCCCAACTTACGATCACCTCGACTTACGACCATCTGCACTTACGGCCAACCATGCAGCAGCATGTTGTGTTTGCATGTCTGCGGTCAGGCAGCGTGTTTACATGTTTACAAGCAAACACTGAAAACACTCACAGTGTTTTCAGTAGCAAAATGCAGGACAATGTAGCACTTTAAAGACTAACAAGATGGTTTATTAGATGATGAGCTTTCGTGGGCCAGACCCACTTCCTCAGATCAAATAATGGAAGAAAACAGTCACAACCATATATACCAAAGGATACAATTTAAAAAAATGAACTTCTATATACACAGCTTCCGCAACAACGCACAGACTGACATTATTCGCAAACGACAACAAGCGACACACAATCTTAGCCGCGCTGAACACCATGCCATCCAGAGTCTCAAAAACAACCTGGACATTGTAATCAAACCAGCTGACAAAGGGGGTGCTGTGGTCATTATGAATAAGGCCGACTATAACCAGGAGGCAACCAGACAACTCTCGAACACCACATTTTACAAACCTCTCCCCTCTGATCCCACCTTGGACTACCAAAAGAAACTACACTGTCTCCTTAAAAGCCTCCCCACAGCTACTCGGGAACAAATCCTCACAGAATCACCTTCTGACCCCCGACCAGGATTGTTCTATCTACTTCCCAAGATCCATAAACCTGGGCACCCCGGACGTCCCATCATCTCTGGTATTGGCACGCTCACTACTGGTCTATCCAGCTATGTAGACACTCTTCTCAAACCCTTCGTAACCAATACCCCCAGCTATCTCCGAGACACTACTGACTTCCTAAGGAAACTACAAAACATCGATAACCTCCCCAATAATACCATCCTTGCCACCATGGATGTAGAAGCTCTATATACCAACATCCCACATGAAGACGGATTACAAGCAATTAGAAACACTATCCCAGAGGACACTACTGCCAACCTGATAGCAGACCTATGTAACTTTGTTCTCACCCACAATTATTTCCGGTTTGAGAACAACTTATACCTCCAGATCAGCGGCACAGCCATGGGTACACGCATGGCCCCACAGTATGCTAACATCTTTATGGCTGACCTAGAACAACGTTTCCTCAACTCCCGTCCCCTTTCACCCCTCCTCTACCTACGGTACATCGATGACATCTTTATGATCTGGACACATGGCCAAGAAACACTGGAGATATTCCACAGAGATTTCAACAACCTACACCCCACCATCAACCTCAGCCTGGACCATTCTACACGAGAGATCCACTTCCTGGACACCACCGTACAAATCAACAATGGAAAATTAGACACCACTCTCTACAGAAAACCCACTGACTCATACAGTTACCTACATGCATCCAGCTCCCATCCAGAACACACCACACGATCCATCGTCTATAGCCAAGCCCTTCGATACAACCGCATCTGCTCTAACCCCACTGACAGAGACCAGAAGCTTCAGGATCTCTACCAAGCATTTATAAATCTCAACTACCCACCCAGAGAAACAAAAAAGCAAATTGAAAGAGCCAGACGAATACCTAGAAACCATCTACTTCAAGACAGACCCAAGAAAACCAACAATAGAACACCACTTGTCATCACCTACAACCCCCAACTTAAACCTGTCCAACACATTATCAATAAACTACAGCCTATATTGGAACAGGATACCATACTCAAAGAGGCTCTGGGAGACAGACCCATAGTCTCCTATAGACAACCACCTAACCTCAAGATGATTCTTACCAACCACCACAGGACATACCACACTAATACCAACCCTGGTACCTTCCCTTGCAACAAACCCCGTTGCCAGCTTTGTCCACATATTCATTCTGCTGATACCATTATTGGACCTAACCAAGTGAGTTATAAGATCAAGAACACATATTCCTGCGCATCCAGAAATATAATCTACGCTATCATGTGCCGAAAGTGTCCGTCTGCTATGTACATTGGACAAACATCTCAGACACTTCGCCAAAGGATTAATGCCCACAAAACAGATATCAGACAAGATCACAAAGAGAAAACAGTTTCTTGCCACTTTAACCAGAAAGGACACTCTCTAAATGACTTAGCCACCTGCATTCTGCTACAAAGACCTTTTACATCTGCACTTGAAAGGGAATCCTCTGAACTGTCATTCATGTTAAAATTCGACACTTACCACCAGGGACTTAACAAGTCTTTGAACTTTCTCACCCATTATCAAGACAGTTTCCCCAATTATCACCTGTAATACCATTAACTCACAAACATCCCACTCTCCCTACCTCTAATATCATCAATTCACAGACACTTACCTTCCTTCCTCCCCCTTCCCACCCCCCCGCCTCCTCCTTCTGTTCTGCAATGTG